AGATTAGCTAATCTTGTGAGTAGAAAGAAGTACTGTATTGGAATCTTATTTTACTCTATGGTGTAAATTAAGTTGGTTGCAATAATCATAACTCAAAATAAAGCAAATATGAAGTGGAAGAATTTGTATCGAGACTTCTTCCAAAAAAGTACTCACAATAATATAATTAAAACTTATACCTAAAGGAGAATTCTCAAGACCTAAAGTTAACTGCTTGTTTGTTTTTTAAAATTTATACAAACCTACACAATGGGATACCTGTGTATAGCCATCCCTAATATTGAAAAGATAGACTAGAGGAAAGGCAGTTGATCTATATCACTCAGATTCAACTACTGGACTATTCTTGTCTGATAGCATAGCCAAGGCCAGGTACCTGCACAGCCAGTGCCTGAGCAAGCAATAATAAATTCTTGACCTATAATGAAGCTGAATTTTAAAAAACTAGCTTGGTTCAGTAGGAGTGTAAACAGGGGAACAAATAACACAGGCCTGCAAATTTAAACGTCATAAAAGTTATTTTGATTTTAATAAAGATTTTCCATAATTCAGCTACACAGATTTTGAAAATAATATTCTTTTTTTTCTATCACATAACGATTTTTTTTTAAAATCAGGAAGAAGAAAAAACTCTTACTTAGATCAAATTATTATTTCGTTTACCACAATGAACATTTGTTATTATTATGTTCATTAACAAAAATACAAACAAACCGAAGAAAAGGGAAGAACATTGATATCAAACGAATATGCATCTACAGTCATCTTGATTTTTTTTTTGTAAAATCTACATCTTTTAGTCTCAAAACTATGTGTTGTGGTCTTTCTTTTATGTATTGTAATAGACGTTTTATGAAAAATCTGTACGTGATGGAGAAAAATGGATATAATTTTCGGATTCAGCATACAAGAATTGCTGTAGAACGTGTACAAATTTAAGACAATAAAACCCTCACAGGCCTGTGTAATCAACAAGTTAGCAGAATGACATGTTGAGTGTATAATTCAGTATATCATTTATATATCATTCAGTATATCATTCAGTATATCAAAAATTTCCAGAACAGGTAATCTGATTAGTTGTTTATAAAATACTGTTGTTTTGATGTAACTAAATACAATGCAATGCCAGAACATTATCCATTTCTTTGGCCACAGACTCAAGACACTTTCTGCATACAAAGGGACCAGACCACAATACAGTCTGCAATATTGGTAACTTGAAAGACTTGTCTTTGCCACTCCTCTTGTCTAAACAAAAAGTGGAATTCAACAGTCACTCATATAGTGCCCCCACAGCCTCAAATGCATAGTGTGTTTTTTTGCAGCAACAAGACACAAACCATGAATCCTCAGATTCACAGTTCAGGCACAGTAACTGCAAGGCCATGCCCAGTCCTAAAGTTAATTATAAAAGCCTCATCTATGAGTTTCAGAATAATAACACTGAAACACCATCCCTTTCCTGAAAGAGGACACATGTTTATCAGTTTGTTACAGAACATTTTCAATTAACAACAATATGCAATTAGAAAAGGCTTCTTCCAAGTTCCACCAGTGTGGAAGAACTGCAAAAAGCTTCACAAGATTTATCTGTCCAATAGCAGGAAAAATTTATCAGTATGCTTAAAACACAAAATTTAATCAACTTTCTCAATACAGGCTTGGTCAATTTGACCGACCACGTGACCTATTTGTACTCGTTTAAAGTCTTTATAGATTTAATACTATAACTCTCAATATAGTGTGTATACCTTCACGAATTTCACAATCTTTCAGTTAACCCATTAACTGCGGATGCCAGATATTTCCATCATTGAAGTTCTATGGCTCAGCTGCGAATGACGGATATATCCGTTTTATTGTGATTGATGGCAACTGAGATGCTCCTGCCTCAGTTAATAGGTTAATATTACAAGTCTTTCATACACAAAAAAAATATATTTTTTAGTGAAGTATTTAAAATAAAATAAAGAAATGTCCATTAATATATTGAGTATTTGTTTTGAATAGTCTGTGTGCAATGTAATTTTCATGTTAAAATAAAAAATAGTTTTCCTCATCTCAAAAATCTCAAATTTCCTTTGTGTAATCCCTGAAACCTCCTAAATGCATTTCAAACCTTTTTTTCAGTAAAACATTATAGTTTATCTGTTACTTTCTCTACCTTATCTGAAAACGGGATCAGTCAATTCAACCAACCTCATAACCTACAGAAAAAAAATCGAAATAAACCTAAATTAACCTTATTGTCTTTTTAGAATGACTTCAAATTGTAACATGAAACTACATTCTTTATCCTAAGTAGCTCTAAGTTCGTAACAGTTTATTTATAATTAAATGTTATTGTTTTATTGCCCTTTGAACCATGTCTAACTACTATCCATGCCATTATAAGTTGTAAATCATTTGGGGAACGTGCAGCTCACGTTATGCTATCAATTTACATTACCCACAAATTATGGGAATAAGAAAAAAATGTAATCTATAAATACCAGTAACAAACTGGCAAAAATATAACATTTCTACTTCACAACACTACCAAAGACATGAACATAGCCCGATTTTCTAGTAGAAATGCCTTTTTACTAATAATGGTGTACAACCAATGTTTAAAGCATCATGACAAGCTTCTACATGGATTTAAACATTTATTCTTGTACATTATTGAAATGGTTTAAAAATAATAACAGTATATCTAGAATCACTGAAACAAAACAGATAAAATCAAAAAACATCGTCTACTGAAAGACTGTCTCTATTATAAAAAAACAATTTATATATCATGTAAAACCAGTCTTACCATTTTTGAGATGATGATTAAAGAAAAACAGAGTATGTTTTTTATGAGAAAAAAAATGTATAAGCTACATACTAGCTAGATTTATAAAATGTCACAATCTCCTAATAAATGCATTTTTATTCATATAATAAAACTACTGTAATTCACTCAATTGTTCTCAAGATGATTTTTCTAGGAAAATTTCAATTTTTTTATATGGAGAGATTAACCAGCAATCAAAGATGTTTGTTTACCTCAAACTCTTCATCACCGTAATCATAGTCATCATAATCTCCTTTTGGATCAGGTTCATTGTCTGCAAGTTCAACAAATTTTTCTTTCTGTTCATACTGGTAAAAAAACAAAAAAAGTATAAAAACCAATACTTTAACTAAATATTTATGAAATTAAAAGATATTCCTACAACATATTTACTTAACTTGGAAAGGCAGAAATAGCCCATCTTTTTAATCTCAAACATAATTACATTCAAACTATAAACATGATTGTTTTTAACTTTCACTAACCACTTCCATGACCACCAAATAAGCTTGAATTCAATAATATAGTACTGCCCATAGATGAAAGGTTGTAGCCCTGGGGGGAAGCATAGTCGGACTGTTCAAAATATAGATATGCTAAAGTCATAATGTTTAAGTTTAAGCAAAATGGGTTTATTTCTAAATGTATAAAACTATCTATAAAGAATATATTTTCAATAATTTTTACTTTTTGTTTATTTGCTCACAAACAACACTCTGCATAAATTTATTTTTCATTTAAAATCAAACTAATTAAGTAGTACCTCTCACATTTTTTATACATGTAAAAACAACAAACTACATTGTGATTTTAGACTGTGGAAAAACTTAATGTTACAAAATACTTTGAGGAATGTATGCATTCATCTGTAAATCAGATAACAGTAAATTGACAAACAACTTATAAGCATGAAGAACATTATTTTAAGTGAATAAAATACTACATGTTTCAACATGACTGAAGGAGGCAGACCAATGTTCTATGGAAACATGTAATATGTTATCTACATAAAGTGATTTTCATCATGGTTATAAATCACTCTTTGTCAATTTGCTATTGTATTAGAATAAGGTTCTTCCCTACACAAGTATAATTCAAATAGCATTTTTTGTTCTTGATTTTATCTCTATGTGTGTGAATAAAGCATGACCACTATCATAATTTTATTATATACACACACACACAAAAATACAATTCTGTAACTTAATATATGATGTATCGCATGACTTTTTAACACAGACAAACCTTTATGTCTAACACAATCCTTGTTACCAGTGTAGATTCACATAAAATACTGAAATGTTGCCCTTGTTGTGGGGATTTCAGTAGTTGTCAGTATTATGAATGGTCTTTGTCTTACTGAAATGCATTGTACACACATACTGACAAAATAATACTGTACTTTAGATGATACCAGTTAGGTTTTACATTCATAAACATCTTCCAGAAATACTAAAAGCAGTATTAAAGAAAATACAAAAACATAAATAGCCTGATTTTGCAACATGTGGTACAAATACAAAATTACTGTACCTATAACTGTTATTTTTACTCATTCAAATTTTTAATTACATCACTTTACTTGTTCTTATCTCACCAGAAGAGGAAGTTTAATAAACTCCATAATTAAAATCGTACTATGCTAAAAAACAATTTCAACATTCGATTAAGCCCATATCTGTAAAGATATATATTACATACTTTAACTTAATTTACTATGTGCATCTTCATGAAATTCAGCAAGCTTTTAGTAAACACAGTAGAATTATTTTGCAAATACACAAAAAAATTTTACTAAAGATTTATCTGTGAATTTACAAAGTCATTACTCAGTCAGACTAAGCGAAAGGTGATTTTCATGCAACAAATAAAAAATACTTCTTTTAATCTTGCAGTTTTCACATTTCATTTGCATAACTTCTAGAATCTTCTAAACTAATATCAAAAATTTGTTTTCAGAAAACTGTATATTTTATTTCATCTTTTCTCTACCTTAACACAACTATAGCAAAATCATCAAGGTACAGTCTAAATTATTAGAAAAATGTCTGCTGAGAGACAGGAATAACATAATCTGGTTCAAAATCTTTTCATAAAGCATCGGCTAACTGTATTACTGTTGATGTGATGAACTGTTATGTAACTATATTATTTTTCTTAAATCTTAACAGCACACTAGGTTAAGAAAATTATGTTAGCTGTTCAAAGTAGCAATATAATTATCATGCAGCTAAATACTTTGGTCAACTGAATAACGCAGGCACCAAAACTAAATAACCAGTAACTAGTTTCCCATAGAGGAGATACTGCTCTTCCTATTGCTAATAAACATGTCCTTCAAAAGATGGGAAGTGCACATTTTACAGATTGCTTGTAATTATGTATAATTTATGTTTCTAATTGGTTGGAAACTGCATCAGCCTATATTTGATGTTAAAAAATCTTGAAGAGAGAAGTTGGAGCTCAGACACATCTTGTAACAAAGAAACATGAAGACTGATATTTTTTCTAACATTTCTTTTTTTATAATTAAAAGTAAAAACTGAAATAATAAAGAAATTTGAATTATAAACTTTATATAAGAAAGTTCTTTAATTAAATTTTAAATGTAACACTGTAAAATGTCATGATGTACACAATTTGACCCAGCCATAGCAAAAAAAAAAAGAGTTAATACAATGATGAAATCAATTAAGTTATTTAAAACTATGCTCACACAGCTTTTCACATGCATTTAAGCCACAAGAGGGCACAATCAGCTTAGAAAATTATATCATTAATGTACCTCCTGAATGACTCATACATAAATTTAAAATATATGTATGTAACATAAAAATTTCCTCCCCAACCAAGTAATTCTTGAAAATTTCACATGCACCTCATGACTAGATATGAGGTACATGGGTGTCTAAAAAGTATTCATGTAGTTTTCAAATATGCATTTTAGAACACAAAAAATATATATCAGTTATTAGAATTAACACAGTCTGACTTACAGAGAGGTTCTGAAGATTTACATATTCATGCAAGAAAGTACAACTTCTTAGAATAAGAGGTATAGAATCGATGAGTGAAAATAATCTATATCACGATTATTTTAAATTCATACTTTTTTATCCTACCTAAAAATCCACTTAAAAGTTTTATCTCAAATACACAACGAGTGTTAAAGAAGTAACAAAAACAGATTTAAAAAATAAGCATTTTTAATTTCTTAACTGTTCTGCCAAAATTATAAAATATAGATTTAAAATAAACAGTGCAATACATGCATCAAATAAGACAGCAATAAAAGAATAAACTAAAAAAAAGTCATCAAACCATAAGTTTATCCTTGCATATGTATCAATATTTTTAATTGCAATTTGTAGTAAATTTTCTCAAAACCTCCTTAATTCAACACCAAAGTTGCTAGTAAAATATCTATAGATAATCATCCCTCAACCTTGTGATTGGCTTACAGACAGGTTCTGAAGAATTACATGTTCATGTAGGAACTTATGACTTGAAATATATTAATTAACTTTGAAATCAATTAGAACTAGAACATCTATAGGGTAGCCATGCAATTATTCTTGAAAAAACTGAATTGAAAATACTAATTCCTATAACATATTTTCAAAGTAGAAAAATAGAAATAATGTATGCTAAAAATTCCTAGTACATATATATATATTGTTGAAAATATTCTGAAATTAATTTCAAAACATACATTTCATAAAAAAATACCCTTTTATAGAAACAATTTGAATATGTCTTACAAAATATACATTGTATAACACTCACTAACTTATTTCAGGAAAAATAAAAACTTTGGCAGAAATCTAACCAAATGGTAGTAAAAAGAAGCTATTTGGTGAACTTGTGTTTTGAAGTTTATAATTTCTTGTGATGATGTGAAAACTAAAACTAGACCATAATTCACTTTATGAATCTAATTACCAGTACATTAAATGGCTAAAGCACTTGACTGTCACAAGTTTGAAAATCAAAAGCTCTTCAGTCTCAGTTTTCAGATCTTCAGAAAAGAAAATCTAACTTCAAGGGATCATGTGCCATTCTCATTATTTTATAATTGCACATTCTTAAATATTTTAAATGATATAACTGCATGTTTTAAAATCTCATTTTATGTTTATAAAAACAATGCATTCTGAAACTTAAAATATCAGCTGATTAATACCATGTTTTCAATCATACCTGGTCTGGCAATATCTCAATCGTCTCTCTGTACAATAGAAATAAGAAGAAGAAAAAAGAGGAAATTAAATATCAAACATTTGACTACTTCATTCTTTAAAATTAGTATAAATATATTAACAACTTTGAAAAATAATCGTTCAAACAATAAACAAAGCTCATTACATTCACATAATGAAAATATATAAAACATACATCTCCCAAAACAAATATATTTAAGAACTATGTCTGTTCACAACCTACCAATCAGGAATAAAGGACAAAATAAGGAATAATAATAATAAAAAATTCAACAAGATTATCAATTTTTCCTGATAAATATTGACTGAAATCCATTTGCAGTTCAGTGCTAATAAATGCTATTATTCACTAAGTAATTAACATACCCATTTTCCTTGTCTAAAACTTCCTCGGGATTAATAAACTCTTCTACTTCTTGATCTTCAGTTTTCTCTGTTGTTACTATTATATCCTCCTCTATTTCTTCAGCTTCAGGAGCTGCAGTTCTTGGTCGGGCACTCTAAGGAATTAGTAAGTGAATAATCATAAACATTTTCTCAATTACTAGTTTACATCACTTCACAGAGAATTTTAGTGTAAATAATAAGTGAATAATCATAAACATTTTCTCAATTACTAGTTTACATCACTTCACAGAGAATTTTAGTGTAAATAATAAGTGAATAATCATAAACATTTTCTCAATTACTAGTTTACATCACTTCACAGAGAATTTTAGTGTAAATAATAAGTGAATAATCATAAACATTTTCTCAATTACTAGTTTACATCACTTCACAGAGAATTTTAGTGTAAATAACAATTATGGGAAAGTATGAATACTCACCTTAGGTTTTGAAGACTTTGGCCTGACTCCTTTACTGGATTTGTCTCTGTTCCCCTGTAGCATTACATAAAAACCCACTTAGAAGCTTTATCTCAAATACACAAAAGGTGTTAAAGAATTTACAAAAACAGATTTAAAAAATAAATATTTTTAATTTCTTAACTGTTCTGCCAAAATTATAAAATATAGATTTAAAACAAACAGTGTAATACGTGCATCAAATGAGAAAGCAATAAAAGAATAAACTCAAAAAGTCATCAAACCACAACAAATTTATCCTTACAGTAAAATCAACCACTATCAAAAACACAGATAATCATACAATAAGTAACATAAAAGCAGTCCAAAATATTAGAAAAATGTCTGTTGAGAGACAGGAATAACATAATCTGGTTCAAAAACATTTCATAAAGCATCAGCTAACTGTATTACAGTTGATGTGATGACCTGTTACATAACTGTATTATTTTTCTTAAATATTAACAGCACACTAGTGTTTGGAAATACCACCTGTTTTATATCTCCAGTAATAGCCTGCCTAACAGCTAGTGGGTTAAGTTCATAGTTCATCTTGCTGATGATCAGACTTGTTTTAAATATAGTGACAATGTCTATAATTAGCCTTTTGTGGAATATAAAAATGTTCAGATGTAATAACTTACAGTCATTAGTTATTAAAACTTACATGTTTACATATATATTAAACAAGATTGCAAGGAATATGGAATTTTATTACTTTTATCCAGGTACTTCATTGTAACTATCAGAAAAATTAATGAGAGAGAGACACATATACTGTTTGTTTAGTGAAATATTTAGTTAAGGACCAGGATGAGGTGTATAATAATGTTTGTTTACTTTTGACTTGTTTGTATATTTAGTTTTAGTATAAATAGCAAAGGTAGCCAGCAATGGTAGACTTTAAAAGTAATGCTATTAAATGGAGGGGTGGGTCATAATTTCCAAGAACTGTAACAAACAATCCATTCATTTCCTTATACAGAGATCATTTTGGAGAGAATCTTTTGCATTGTCAGTCATTTCAGATGCCACATGTCCTCCCACAGGAAGACTATCCTCGATGTTCAACACTTCAATTTGCTCCATCATTATTGACAGGATCCTGAAGGATTTCTCCTTATACAAAATCAATGCATTCATAATGAAATACAAGCCCAATGCCTCAACAAACCCTACCAAGACTAGGCTTCTACACAAGGGTGGAATCTTCACTCAACCCCTAGCACCCGTAGACTTTGATTACTTATTTTCTCCATGGGATTCTTATCAGCCAGTTACTTGTAAACATCCCCAATCTAATACTCACCTTTTCTCTGTCTTTCTCAGGGGGGCATTGTCCTTTTCATTACCACAGAAAAAATACTGTCAATTGTAAAACAATACACGATGTACAACATTCACACAATCCCCCAGAAACCTAACCCACTTCATGAAAATAGTAACACTTTCCAAATCAACCACTGAACACCTACTTACTAATGATTTCTTTTACAATTTTTCCAGTTTAGAGCCAAATATCTACATCAAAACCCATCCTTTTCCAAGAACTACCCCCAGCAGTTCCACACTCATACACCTGGCACAGGTCTATACAACACCAACGACCAACAATGAATTACCATCCACCTACAAAGTTCTGTTAGTCCAAGCAGTCAAGCCTGCATAACCCACCAAGAAGAACACTCAATCAACCCAGACACTGCACCAAACATGATCTATCTACATCTACAGATAGCCTTCAGCTATCTAGGAAAGATAAACATAGATTGCAAGGAAAAAACAGGAGAACACAGACTAGTGACCAACCTGAAGAAGACATAAGGAAAATAACTCATTCAACCAGATTCAATACCAAGGGATACTTCTCACCTAAGCTTGCCTTACCCTGCCCATATTCCACATCCAAAGACAACGTCAAGTCCAATCTCAAGTGCAACTGAGCCTTCCCCCACCTACCTTTGACTTTTCATTCTTCCATCTTATTCTAAAGTCTTAAAACAACTAATACCATAGTTACTGATCTTGTTTATTAATCTTTATTTTTCTTCCTTTTCAGTGTTCTACGGGCATGGTCCAAGTATTTTTATTTTGGCATCTTGACTATGAAAGTGGGTTTTCTTGGGGTATTCCTATTTTCCCCCACACCAAAATTTCCAAGGCATTGTATCCAACAATCCAAACCCGCCACGATCAGCCACTGTTTGTTGGTGTACTTGTCAAAAATTGTCAAGACTTTTAGTCACACCCATGTCTTCACTTCTGCCTTTGCTTCAGTTCTTTAGCTCATGCACATATATATATATATATATGTGTGTGTATGCAAGTGCATGGATATATCTAATCTTTTTATTTTTATGTTGTTGTATGGTCCTCGCATTCGGGGCAAAAGAAGACTGCTGGGTCCTCGAGCACTCCTGGGATTTTGTTTGGAGGCTATTACACACACCCTTCTCAAAATTTCCCCTCAGTACCCTTGTAATTGTCTAAAACCATTCATCTGATGCAAAAATACTCATACCATGCATGACATTAAATATCAATTTAGTTTGGCATTGGCTTGACGTATGTTGTTGATGTTCTTCTCATACAGTTGAGCCCTCATTTGTGGCATTAAAGAGGTAAAATTGAAATGGATGCCAAACTCAAATTGTTTGTCCAATTAAACTTAACATTTGGGATGTCCACTTGATTTCCTTTACCAAACTGTATCAAAATTAGTTCAAGTAGTAACTTAGTAACTTTTTTTTTTAATTAAGTATTTGGTTTAGAACATGCTAAAAGTATCAATACATCTAGAAAGGTTAACATATAATTCTAAAGACAAAAATATTTTTTCTTATTGCTACATAACTACTGTAAGAAAACTATCTTTAAATCTAACACAATTAAAAATAAAGAATCCTATTAAAGTACAAAATATTTCTCATATTTTATATACTCACTTTTTCGCTTGTTTTCGCAGATTTTTCTCTACCAATTTCTAGATTTTGTTTTCCTGAAGACTGAATTAAGATAAAATGCATTATTTAAGTGATTTTTTGAGTTGCAAATACATTTTCAAATAAACACATTTATTAAGCTATCAACCAAATTTCTCTTCCAAAATTTCCGTGTTGTTAAGCATAAAGCTACACAATGGACCATCTGTGCTGTGCCCACCATGAGTATCAAAATTTAGTTTTTAAGAGGTGTGAGACCTCAGAATTACAACTGAGCGACTTGGGGGAAGCTCTTCCAAAAGCAGTTATATTTCTCTAAAAACAAGCTAACCTTATGAAGTTCCTCAAACCTCCTGTCTCTCTTCAGTGTACATAATGGTAGCAATGTAGATCTTGATAATTTAACTGATTAATTAAGATAATTGATTACCTATTAGCAGCAACTGCACCAATTAGTTTCACATAAACTAAATTATTAATTTAAAACATAATTAAATTGATTAAATCAAAATTAACATTTCTGATTATTATTGTTTCTGATTATTCCAACTAATTAAGTCGTCAAATTATTGCTGATAGGTTTGTTTATTATTAGGCGCAAAGCTATATAATGGGCTATCGGTGTTGTATCCAATTTGGGGGGGGGGACTTATGTTCAAGGGTTTATGGAAAGCAGCTGTCTGATAAGTTGTTCATCTTGAACTGCTAACTAGAGGGAAGACAACTAGCTGGCAGTACCCATTGACACTTTTTTTTTATGTATGTACTTCAGGAACACTGTACTAAATTATTAATGGGGCTGTTGATTAATCGATTAGTAAATATCACTAATCACCTTGCTCTACAGCATTGTTAAATAACAATGTTTTTAGATATAAAGAAACTAAACTCTAAATTTGCTGAATCGTCTCACAATTATTTTAAAAACATCAAAAATTTTTGAAAATCAACTTATAAACATCTAAGTATTACTTAATCACCAGACTTCAGATTGCCATTCATTTGTGCTGCAGTAAATGCAAAAGAAAGCCTGCAATTTGCCTAACATGTTTTAACCAGAAGCATCAAAATAAATGTTGCTAATTATTTATGGAAATAAAAATTGAAAACTAGTGCTTTCATTATTTAGATGCGAACATTTTTTTTTAGCTTAAACAATGCAAGACACTACAGAGTAAAATTTAAAATTATTATACCAGTATGACATTATGAAATGCATTCCCTGTTATTTTTCCATTGTAAAAGATAACATAATGAACAACATATCCACCAGAGTCTGGATTTGGTACATTTTAGAGAACAATATGTATTGTCAAAAAATACACTTAATTTCAAGGCCACATATCAGCTCTTATAGTTTTCCCTCAATACAAGATAGTTGGTGGTCTGCTTCTGACCAATCAGTGCTTCAGCTAACAATATCCAAGCAAAGAGGTCTGACCCACCAGTGGTTCAACAGATATATTCCAAAGAAGAAAGACTTATAAGTGGTTCAACTGGCATATTCCAAACAAAGATAACTGATCCATGGGTAAGTCAGCTGGAAAAAATACACCCAATCTACTAGTGGGTCAGTTGACAGTCAATGTGTTAAATAAAGAATTTGAATTTGCTAATATGAGGTGTATACAAGATAAATTTGAAGTAATTATACTTCCCTATTATAAAAACTTTAAAGATTATATTTTTGTTCAAACATTATCAATGGAAAAATTCTCAGAGTAAAGATAGTTCATACATTCACAGGTCTGCAATCATCAAACTCAATCTTTCTATATTTGCAATGACCTATAAAGGTATGGCATTTGATCCCACGATGTAAGAACTACAACTTTATGATGTTATTCACTGGAGTGAGATATTGTTTATTATGTTTTGGAGAATTGTACTTATAATCTACAGAATTGATATATGCTTTCAAGTATATATGTTCAGTTTGATACCAGTGTTTGAAAAATATAGAGACTGAAGGCCATTTGTTAATTATGTTTGTGTGTGTGTGACTCTAGCCCCATTATATTTGTTTCATTTCTGTGGAAAGTCGTTCAAAAGATTAAACATCTGAGTTCCAGTCTTGTGTGGTATTCATGTTCATAAATCTTTAAATGCTCTTTGTCATTCCCTAACATAATGTCTATTTTTACAGTTTTTAAGGGTTGTTGGTTCAGACTTAAAGGTGTTTCAAGAACGTGTATTCCTCTGATCCTGTAATATTTACATTATAATATGTTTTACCTGTAATAACATGAATTTTCATGTACCTTAATACTTGATTCCCCAAATACAAATGATTCAGGATTTATATCCTGATATCACAAACCACCATCAGCAGCAGATTATCAGAACCTGAAAAAACAACTGATCTGGCAGCTATTGCTAAGTGTAATGATATATACAGTTAAATATAATCTTTAAATGAACCGTGTGATTATTTTAATTCAACACTTCTCAATATCAATAAATGACCTGAAATTTGTTAATACAACAAAATTCATTGCATTTTTCTAATATCTTAAGAAAAAAAGTTTTTCATATGTGTTGAGAAATCAAATACCAGGCAATTATCTTACTACAAGTCAACAAATTTTCTACATCAGACTTTGAAGTTGATCTGATCATTTTAAAACCAATAAGCTAGCATCACTTATTCCTTGAAAATATATCAATAATTGTAAACATATTAAAAGCTGACAACATTTATTATTTGAATCAAAAACAGATGTATAAAAAAAGTGTGTTACCATAACACTATGGTTACACTACATGGTAACTATGGGTATAAAAGCCATCATTCAAAATTATATTCAAGCAGATTTGTACAAGTCACTGCAATATGTATATTGTTTTCTGCATAATCAAAGTTCCATCAAGTTTTACAAGTTGTATCAGCTGGTTTCCTGAATGTTGTCCTCTGAAGACTGAAAGTTGAAACACCCAGTATAGTAAATTAACTTGAAATACTCATTACAAAGAAGGGTATAACAGAAATAGCTCTTGGCATGTATGATACTCACCTTTTCACTGCTTCTTCCTGATTTTTCTCTTGACTTCTCTAAACTCTGTTTTGTTGGTGACTAAGTACAATAAAATCAGTATTTACATGATTAACACAAGTTTAACATTTCATATGGATACACAATTTTCTATACAAAATATACTGAACTTAATATTTAACCTTTGTTAACATAAGAATAAAATTCAAGCTATTGAACAGCAGAAGTGATGTTTAAAACACCCAGCTCAGCAAACCAACTTGAAAAACACATTACAAAATATTGTTAATAAATACAACATACAAATTTTGGATTGTCAGATACTCACCTTTTCACTACTTCTTCTTGATTTTTCTCTTGACTTTTCTAAACTCTGTTTTGTTTGTGAATAAGTATAATAAAATCAGTATTTAAAGATTAATATAAGCTTAACATTTCATATGGATACACAATTATACATTAAAAATATGCTGAGCTTAATATTTAACCTTTGAACATAAGAATAAATCTATCTCCAAGTCACCTTGACAAGCAAACAGAATTTTGTTCGTGAGTTGAGTTTTATTGTGGGGAATGTTGGAGAGCTTTTCAACTATTTACCATAGAACACGAAAACGGTTAAGAAAGGATAACTGTTTATTCCAGGGGATGTAGAGACCAGTGTGTGTGTTTTTGCGGTGAATTTTTGTTTTAAACTCAGTGTCAGATCTAATAATTTTGACCAGGGGATGTAGAGACCAGTGTGTGTGTTTTTTGCGGTGAATTTTGGTTTTAATTTCGCTCACGACACCACAAAAAAAATCAATACACTTAAAAACCTCATAAACACAGCCACAAGACTCTGTTCAACGGACTACATAAATGAAGAAATTAACCACTTAAAGCATTCCTTTATTCACACCAATAAATTCCTACCAGCTATAGTTGAAAAGCTCTCCAACATTCCCCATAATAAAACTCAACTCATGAACAAAATTGACGCTAACAAACCCAACAACAGTACATTACACTGCAGTTTACCTGTTGTTCCTGAAACCAGCTCAAGAATTATCCACACTTGGACTAAACTAGCCATTAAACACAATATTCCTGTCAACGTCAAATTCTCACAAAAACCCGGCCCTAAATTAAAATCGTTACTAAACAAAAATTATTTAGAATCACACAATACCAACGTCATTTACAAAATAACATGCAATAACTGCCCAGAATTCTACATCGGAGAAACAGAAAGAAAATTGGAAACCAAATTGACAGAACACAATAAAAAACCGTCCGATGTTTTTGACCATTGCAACTCAAAACACCATAGTATATCTATTAAAAACACAGTCATTTTAAACAAAGAACCCAACATAAACAAACGAAAAATCAAGGAATCCATCTTAATTGAACAAAACAACCCTACTCTAAGCCAACACCCCGGGGCGCCTAGATACTTCTTCTAAGTTTCGCAACAGTTCCGGTCATTCATTGTTCAATACTCTATATATATATCTGTACCTGATGATGACAAAACCTTGTAGAAACGTTGTACATTTGCTGTTATGTTAAACTTATATTAAAGTTTTTCTTCATTACCCATTCAAGCCGTCTCTAGCCATTATTAGTATGGTATATTGATGTCACAACCGTACATAAGGGTTGGGCCTTTCCTAAAATTAGGTTTCTTTTGAAATTTTATGAAAAGGTGAAATATATTTTTGAAAAGATCCAATACAATTAATAAATAACTTTAAGCTTCAGTGGTAGAACTCTAGATTTATTATCAGGGGTGCGGCCCATTGGTAGAACTCTGGATTTATTATCAGGGGTGAGGCCCAGTGGCAGAACTCTGGATTTATTATCAGGGTGAGGCCCATTGGCAGAACTCTGGATTTATTATCAGGGTGAGTCCCATTGGCAGAACTCTGGATTCATTATCAGGGTGCGGCCCAGTGGTAGAACTTTGGATTTTGCAGCTGATGAGCCGGTTTCAAATCCGTGCGATACCACAAAATATTCTATACATTTTAAGCTGTGGATGCTTTATAAGAGAGACAGTCAATACCTTATCATGATTGTTAAGGTGCTGTTGACTGGTTTACTTTCATTTTTTTTTCTTAGACATTTGGATTCTCTGATCCCAGCCTCGGCATTTCAGTTTTTACATCCTCGCTACCATATGACCCTGTCTATGGGCCGTTCGATCTGCTGAGTTTTGTCGATAGTTTGCCGTCTTACTTCTTTCTCCACCATCAATTGGATGTCACAACCAGCATACGCCACCGAGGATCCTCCTTATCTTTTTAAACAAAACACAATGAATTACAAGGTTCAACTTTTCTGTTTTTGAAAGATGCGTTTGACTCTTCAATAAATCATAACATCACGACAACTTTGTATGTTATAAACTTTTATTTTTACAAGAGTCCACTAGAGTTGTACATAAATTATATTCTTCCAGAAAGTAACATATTGATCTGCCATATATAAAAGTTTGTGTGTGAGTTTATTATGTAGAGTAAACATTTATTATTATTCTTTCAATAACTACGTGTTAAACTGTTTGCGCATAGCTACACTGGGCTATCTACGCATAACCATCCCTAATTTTAACTGATAGACGCATGTAGTTAGAAGTACTCGCAGTCAACTCTTCAGTTTCTTTTGGCTGACCGTTACCCTTACAATGTACCAACGCAGAGCACGTACTCTTAGATTCCCAGTTCCAGACCGCTAAATAATGGGCTATGACCGGTCCCTGTTTTAAGCTGTCGAAAGGAACTACTTGAAGATATGAATAAAAAGAAAAGCGAATAAAAACCTACTGACCTGTGTACAGTGACTAAAAACAAACTGACCTGTGTTGAGTGACTAAAAACAAATTGACCTGTGTAGTGACTAAAAACAAATTGACCTATGTACTGCGACTAAAAACAAACTGACCTGTGTGCGGTGACTAAAAACAAATTGACCTGTGTACAGTGACTAAAAAAAATTGACCTATGTAAAGAAACTAAACACATATTAACCTGTGTACAGTGACTAAAAACAAATTGACCTAAGTATAGCGACTAAAAACAAATTGACCTGTGTAGTGATTAAAAACAAATTGACTTGTGTAAGTGATTAAAAACAAATTGGCCTATGTACAGAGACTAAAAACAAATTGACCTGTGTAATGATTAACAACAAATTGACCTGTGTACAGCGACTAAAAACAAATTGATCTGTGTGCAGCGACTAAAAACAAATTGACCTTTGAACAGCGACTCTAAACAAATTGACCTGTGTACAGTGACTAAAAACAAATTCAGCATGTACAGTGACTAAAAATAAATTCACTATGT